GCTCTCATGAATGAAAAGTGCAACAGTGAATGCAAGTTAGTAAAATGTGATGCACAGACTGAGCCCCTTGCCAGGGGATTAGAGTTAACGATCTTTCTTCTAAAACTAGAGGAAAAGGAAAAAAACACACACACAGGAAAGAAGGGAGGGAGAGAAGGAAGTGAAGTGCCACAGGGATCTCTAATGACCACATTAAACACTCCTAATTACAGTGAGGAGTGGAAGTTGGGTCTGACCTGGTAGGCTAAGCTGCAGCTACATTTCTGGTCCTCTCAGATGGCCTAAATTTGCCTTCGCTAACTGAAGGTCACATAGAGCCAGATTTCATGTTCATCATTGTTCTCTCCTCGCAGCTAGGTATGCTGCAAGGTCTTGGGTTTGGGAGAACTGGTTGCAGATGCTATGGGGAGATGGGCCCAAGCTGCTAGAGGACACTTTTAGGGTTGACTCTCCTCTAGCATCTGGATTCCAGGGGGCTACTCTGGGCCAAGAAAGAATGCATGGATCCCCAGAATACAAGCAACTGGACCTGACTAAAAGTCAATAGTTGTGGCTTCTAATCTGAAATTACAACCCATACTGCTTCCAGGGGCATCAGGGAAGTTTTGTAGCCAAGGGGAGCAGACTGACACATAATTTCCAATAGTAATTCCCTGATCAGGTGTCAAGTACCTGTTGCAGAAACTTTCAGGCCCACTTTCCTGAATGCTGTTTTTGGTATAGGAGAAGCTGACTAGCATGATGTGAGGGGCCCACTATCCTGGCCAGAACCTCAAGATTACTAGCAATCACTGGAGTAACACAAAAGCATCCAGGTCCTGTTGAAATACACATTGTCAGGAGTTCATCGTTAATGTTTACTAACCTATCATCACAGGTCAATTGGCTAAGAGATAGCCCCTGGGCCACAAGATGGCAATGTGTTAGCCAAGGGGAAGTCCAGGGCCTAGAAGGCCAGAGGCCTGGAGAAGACAGGCTTGGAAAGAAGGGCAAAGTTCAGGCCCAGAGCACCTGGGGTGGAAAGGGTACTGAAATCGGAAATGGGTTGTAACAGGAGAAACTGGGGCTGCTAAAAACAAAGTTGCCTGGGCTAGGCACGGTGGTTCATGCCTGTAATCCCAATGCTTTGGGAGGCTGAGGCAAGAGAATCACTTGAACCCAGCAGTTCGAGACCAGTCTGGGCAACATAGCAAGACCCTGTCTCTAAAAAAATATATTTTAAAATTAGCCAGGCATGGTGGTAGACACCTGTAGTCCCATCTACTTGGGAGACTGAGGCAGAACGATCACTTGAGCCCAGGAGTTCAAGGCTGCAGGGAGCTATGATTGTTCCACTGCACTCCAAGCTGGGTGACAGTGAGAGACCCTGTTCAAAAACAACAACAACAACAAAAAGTTGCCTGAGCTCACCATTCTGCCTTAGGCTGAATCGACCTCTGCGACAGTCCCAGAGAGAGGCCACAGTATCCCACAATGTATGCTTTTGGTCTACTACTCAGAAGACGATCTTTCATCTATCCAAGCTGGACAGCTCTATGCTGGGAGGCAGGGTACTCAGGATTCTAATCTTGGTACTGCCACTGACTGAGTGACCCAAAGAGAATAGCTTAAAACCTCTGGGGCCCAGTTTATTTACCCTTGAAGTGAAGACATTGTCACCTATCCCACCATTACAGGGTCTTGTCAGATTGAAAAAGTTCTTTTGCTGTGCCTTAATCTCCATCTGTATTTGTGCAATACGGTATCACATAGTTCAAGCCCACTGCTTAATCTCAAGATAACTAGTTATTAAGTTCTGTTGTTATTTCCATAGAGATAGAATAACAGCAGGTTACAGGAGAATTATCAAGGGTTGGTGAATATGCTTACTGGAAGAAGGGAGAAAATAGCAGTAACCAGTTCAGAATTTAAAAACCCAAACTGCTACTCTAGAGATCCATTTGATTAGAGCAAAGTACCAGTGAGGCTCTTGGCACAGCGTCAAGGCCCACAAGGATATGGATGGCTGCTCCGAACATACTCATTTCCACCACTGGTCAGACATTTCAAACATCTCCAGCTCCTATGAGAAATGTATATATTTATACATAAAAAATAGACTGCAATTGTATGCGGGAGAGGAGACTGTGAACCAATTCTGGGTTTCTGTCCGAATTTGAATTTCAAGGTCTATTGGGCTTCATTGAGAAAGTGCAACCCTGCTGATACCGCCAAGTTGGGATTCTAGGAAAATCCCTTGTGTTGGGGGAAGTTGGGGTTGTTAGGGGGATAGAGAGTGTGAGAGTGCCTCAGGCTTACAGGAGGAGCAGTGAATGTTTCAGCCAGCACCATTTCCCTCCCAGTCTTCCTCTCCCACAACACCTGGAGCCTAGGAAAAAGCTCAGAGAAGAGGACCCGAGAGTTCCATCTGCTCGCTTCCAAGCTCCTACTTTCCTTTACATTATCTCCTACTGAACTTATGCCCCCATCCTCCACTTCTTGCAAACTGCTGTTTACTGGCCTCGTCACCCCCTAAGAGGGCAAGCTCCTTGCGTGCATCTTGGTTCAGTCAACAAGATTCCTTCAACAAATATTTGTGCCAGGCACTGTGCTTGCTTGGCTCCAGGAGGGGAAAGGAAAAGTTTCTCCCAGAGGGCTCAGCACAAAGCTAGCTACAGTGTAAGTACATACACTTTGTAAATGTTTACCAAGTTTCCTTTCCCTTTTAGGTCCTGTGTAACATTCTGTGCCACTTATTTGTAATGGCCCTGGTTCCTTAATTTCCTCAAATGCCCTCTTATCATTTCTCCTGTACCTTCAGCCCAGATTCAATAAACCATCACATGAGCTCAGGCTGAGACTTCTTCACCTGAGGCCATAAGAGCAAGCCATTTGGTCCACTGAGTTTCCTTTTCCAACCCAAAGACCTCAGGCTGCTCCAGATTCCCTCCACAGAGAGCAGACATTAGGGTGAAGGGGTGCCAAGAAAGCCCCCTTGCTCATTTTCAAGTAGGAAAATCTAACATAAGCTACCACTGAGCCCCAGGGAGAAAGGGCTTGGAAACTCACCTGGGAGTAAAGTGCTTGCCATTATCATCTCCCTTGGCCCTTCCAAAGCACTCACTGTCAGTATCTCTGTCATCTGGTACTACCATGAGTTATACAGAGAAAGCCTTGTAACATCCACAGCATCCATCCAAAGCCACAGACTGAGGGCACAACAGTGAGGTGAGAGCCGTGGAGACAGGGTTTTCAAACAGTTGCTGAGGACACTTTTATATGGGGATCAGCAGGATTTCAAGAGTCCAGGCCCACTCAGCAGCAGAAAAATGAGAGCATGTGATGGTACTGATCTTGGAGAAGAAGCAGAAATGGGCAGCCAATCTACGCACACCTCCACACCTGAACCACTTTATTCCAGGTGCAGCACCATTAGAAATCACATGGAATTCCACTTTGGGCCTGCAGGCTAGAGGCTGCCAATTCTTGTTCATACAGTGTGTTCCCATGGAGGGAGAGAACTGCAGGGCTAGATCAACCCATGCAACTCTCAACGATTGGAGATTTGCAATGAGTGAGGTGGGTTTCTGGCTGTGAGTATAAGCTGGAATAGTAAAGGAAAAAGAAGAGTGTTCGCTCCATGACTGAAAATCACAAATAATCATGTATACTCATATACCCACTAATTAACCATATGACTAAATCCATTTTGGTTAATATCTTCTTCCTGTTGGAATTGCTTGAAATATTTAAACATACGCACACACAACATCCGAAACAACACTGTGGATACATAATACGAATATACTGCTCGGAGATAATACCCCATCAAGTAACTGGGAGACTGCATATTGTACAGCTTGGAATAAATTTAGAAAATGAAGACAACTCAGAAAATTTAAGATGATTCTTCTCTCCTCATCCATATTCCCCTCTCTCTTTCCATCCCTCTCTCTGCCTTCCTCTCTTCTCTCATCTACTTCTTGCCCCCAGTGCCCCATCTCCCTTATCTCCCTATAAGATCATTTATTGTCAGCCATGCTAGCTGCTTGCTGGCCTCTTACTGATGCCAAAACATCATGTTCTGATCTAACTGAACCACATTAGTTGATAGAATTATTACTGTCAGATATTTGAGTGGTGTCACCAGTCAATGAAATGAGCCTTGTAAAATCCAAGTTTATGGAGTGCTTTACTTTGAGATGATGTTGGCTAGGTTTCTTGATACATATAGAATCTATAGCATTGTCCAGTCTCTCTCCCTGGTCTGTCTGTTATAAAACATCACCCTTGTGCAGCTCTCCCTTCTCAGACTTGAGCCATTTCTTACCAACTCTGGCAAAGCCAAGGCTGTAGCAGTGCCACAAAGTACCCCTGCACCAACAGGAGGGGACTCACTGTGTGCAGGACAGGAAACCCGGGGAATAACTGGGTATTTCCAGGTCAGTCACTGCAGCTGGGCCAAGCTCCCCCTTGGTGCTTCCCTCCTTCTTGCCTTTGCAAATCAATCAACGACAGTTGCAACAACCTTGGGAGCACGTTCGCCTTCCCCTCCTGGCTCCTTGCTGTCTGGGGCCCAGGTGAGCCAGGTAGAGGCGCCAGGCAGGAAGGAGAGGAAGCATGAAAGGCAGAGAAGCCTTCCAGTCGCCCCTCATTTCCCCACGCAATTGACCTGTCTGTGTCCCCCGACCCTCCGAGTCCTAGAAGCTGAATTGAGGGCTCCCCCGCCTCTAAGCTTTCCCACGCACACGCACACCTGCGCGAACTCTCCCAGGTGGGCACCTTCCCCAACCGACGGGCTGCACAGGGGAATGATGTTGCAAGTTCGAGCCCAGAGGTGTCTCTCTGCCCGCTACCCACCCCTAGTCACTCCTCGCCGCCCGTCTTTGAGGCGAACGCCCCACTTGGGCAGGCAGGAGCCCCTGCAAGGCCGGCTGGTTTTCTGCCCCCCTCCACACCATGGTGTCAGAACGCGGGGTGGGGGGGGGGGGAAGAGTAGGTCGGCTGCACCCACCACTTACTCTGAAATCTCGAGGCATGCGTGAAAGCTAGCCATGGTGCTGCTGAGGGAGCCGCTGGCCGGTTACGTGCCTTGCCTGCTGGGGTGCATGGGAGCCCGTGCTGCGGGCATGCCCTTAGAGGCTGCCACGTGGGGGCAGCTCCGCACTTCAAGCGCCCACACACACGCAGCCCCAGACCCGCAGGCCGAAGCAATAATCAGCCAGATAAAGTTTCTTTTCCAAGGCCTCTCGCTGTCTTCTGATCTCATTCCAAAAAGGGCTGGGCTTGTTCCTTACATGGTTAGGAACTGTTAACTCCCCTTTTTCCTCTGCCTCCATCTTCCCGCTACCACAGCATCCTTAGTGCAAAACACCAGATGCTCTTTCTTAGGCTCTCTGTATCCCTGTAGGGCTAACGAGTGTGAGAAGTAACTTGGAGGAGAACGCTAAGAAAAGAGTAGAGGCTTTTATCCGAGAAGGAAAGGACACTCAGGGCTTTGGGTGTAAAGCCAAAGAAGATGTAAATAAGTTGCTTTCTGGCATTTTAAATGGTGCAGGCTGGAGGGAGAGGGGAGCAGAGGGGAGAAGAGAGAGGCCAGGAAAGAAAGAAAATTTAAATAGCAAGGCTGCAAGCATTCTTACCTAGATGTGAATACTGTTTTTGGTGTTCTAAACTGTTCTTGTTCAATCCTAAGGAAAACTATTTACTCCTTAAGCCAGTCAGGGGCCATGAAGCGAAAAAGAAAGACTTTCCTTAAATTTGCGAAATTTTTTCTGCCCTTCAGATGAAAGTCCCTACCAAAGGTTGTGTGCACACAGGGAACCCCAATTACACCATGGCTTACATTACATGGATTCAGACATGTGGCAGATCAGATTGTGTCTACAGAAAACCAAAAGAGCTGGAGAGAGAGAGACACAGTGAGCAAAAGTGTGACCTAATGTTGACTGCCTGGAAGACATGTAGGGCATCTTTCCCAATCTCAGCTCCATAAAGAGGTGTGTATCCCTACCTTGGCCTCTGAGATGCACAGATCTACAATATTTTGATTTTTTAAAAGTGCCTAGTGGGAGTGCAAAATGCAAAGCAAATGCAGATGCAGGCTTTTGGCTTTTTAAAATGACTTTGAGGAATCAAGAGTTTCAAAAGGTTGTGATTTCTGTGCATGTATTCATGGGGAGTATTAAACACTGTCCAGCTGGGCCTAATTCGACAGGCTTTCCAAATCAGGTTTACCCAAATAAGAATAAGAAGAAAGAAGAAATCTAGGCCGGGGTCCCTTCAGGGGGTCTTGGCAAGTCTGGTAGGTAGCAGGGGCCTGTTTTTCCTTTCAGACTGAAAGAGGCAACAGCCTGCTACTGCAATTTCATTGAGTCGGTTGGCTGGGGTCTCTGGACAGGGCCGTACACGCAACCCTTGCTTGTTAGCTTTGGGGAAAAGGAACATAACTGAGCAAGGACTAAATTTATGTTGTAGATGCTGAATTCTGACCTGTGGCTAGAATTTCTAGCTAGAATTCCTTTCTAACTCAAATTTGTGGTTAGTTCTCCATTATTCATAAGTGTGTACTGCTTACCCACCTAGTACATTTCCTGTAATTGTGTTTTTAATCAAAGAATAACTTCTGAAATGCCAACCCCAGTTGTAACGTCAGCAGGCAGTTAAGAAAGACCAATTTTAATATTGGCCAGAAAACAAGCTAATTAGAAAGGCAAATTTGAATCATTCCCCTCCCACCCAAATAGAACTCACCCTGAAAACAATGAGCTTTAGCACTTTGATAATTAGTGCTCTGCCTAATGCCTTCCTTCCGTTACTTCAAATAATCAGAAGAGTCCACAGAAAATCCATCCTATAATCCCCAAACTGTGTTGATGGCTCCTTCTACTGAAGCCTCATAGCACCTGTGGTCAAGGTTCTAGGGTCAGAGTTGTGACCAAATTTTATTATATACTGTCTTTTGTTGTCCTTGAGGTGTTTCAAATGCATATAATTTGTCTCCTTAACTTAGATTTGAAGTCTCCAGAGGAAAGAAAAACACATTTCTTACATTTTTTTCTTTTCTTTTTTTTTTAATTATACTTTAAGTTCTGGGGTACATGTGCAGAACGTGCAGGTTTGTTACATAGGTATATGTGTGCCATGGTGGCTTGCTGCACCCATCAACCCGTCACCTCCATTAGAATTTCTTCTAATGCTATCCCTCCCCTCGCCCCCCACTCCCCAGCAGGTCCCAGTGTGTGATGTTCCCCTCCCTGTGCCCATGTGTTCTCATTGTTCAACTCCCACTTATGAGTGAGAACATGTGGTGTTTGGTTTTCTGTTCTTAGTTTGCTGAGAATGATGGTTTCCAGCTTCATCCATGTCCCTGCAAAAGACATGAACTCATCCTTTTTCATGGCTGCATAGTATTCCATGGTGTATATGTGCCACATTTTCTTTATCCAGTCTATCATTGATGGGCATTTGGGTTGATTTCAGGTCTTTGCTATTGTGAACAGTGCTGCAGTGAACATACGTGCGCATGTGTCTTTATAATAGAATGATTTCTAATCCTTTGGGTATATACCCAGTACTAGGATTGCTGGGTCAAATGGTATTTCTAGTTCTACATCCTTAAGGAATCGCCACAAAGTCTTCTACGATAGTTGAACTAATTTACACTCCCACCAACAGTGTAAAAGCATTCCTATTTCTCCATATCCTCTCCAGCATCTGTTGTTTCCTAACTTTTTAATGATCGTCATTCTAACTGGTGTGAGGTGGTATCTCATTGTGCTTTTGATTTGCATTTCTCTAATGACCAGTGATGATGAGCAGTTTTTCATATGTGTGTTGGCTGCATAAGTGTCTTCTTTTGAGAAGTGTCTGTTCATATCCTTCACCCACTTTTTGATGGGGTTGAGATGGAGTTTCTCTCTGTCACCCAGGCTAGAGTGCAGTGGTGCGATCTCCACTCACTGCAACCTCCACCTCTAGGGTTCAAGTTATTCTCGTGACTCAGCTTCCCAAGTAACTGGGATTACAGGCACACACCACCATGCTCAGCTAATTTTTGTATCTTTTTGTAGGGACAGGGTTTCATCATGTTGGCCAGGCTGGTCTTGAACTCCTGGCTTCAAGTGATCCACCTGCCTTGGCCTCCCAAAGTGCACATTTTTTTCTTATGTCTGTCATGGTACAATGCTGAGTGAATCAGGTAGTGAATAGAACACCTTGTTGGGGGATTTTACGGTTACTGTTCTGTGGGATCTGTAGTCATAGCATTGACTTGAAAATGACCACATGCTCAAAGGCCAGTCATTAGGACAGACCAGTGGAAGAAAATGTTAGCATACGTGGTAGGAGTTGGGTAAGAAGATAAGACCACAAAAACAACTATTTGGGAATAGATCTTTTTTCTTTTAGTTCAGGCTTTTGGAAAGTGTTCATCATTAGTAAATCCCAAGAGGGCATACATTCCATTGCTTGGCATTCAGGATGGTAATGACCTCTGCTAAGAAAGTTAGGCATATCCTTAGGATGCCAGGCCAATAATGTAGATTTCCAGGTGCAGCATGGCTCAGCCACTTGCTTCTAGCAAAAGATAAAGTACAAACTCCATGAGTGACTGACTCCCCCAGCCCCAGTTCCTAGATAAATGCTTCCATTGCTTTGGGGGGAATCTGATCTTCCTGGCTCCAACCAATGATTCCAGTGAGTCTAAAACATGCAGGATAAATTTCACTGAAACCTTCAGGACTGACTCAAAAACTCTACTAGGCTTTTTTTTTTTTTTTTTTTTTTTTTTTTTTGAGACAGAGTCTTGCTCGGTCACCAGGTGCCAGGCTGGAGTGCAGTGGCATGATCTCGACTCACTGCAACCTCTGCCTCCCGGGTTTAAGCAATTCTCCTGCCTAAGCCTCCCAAGTAGCTGGGACTACAGGCGCATGTCACCACGCCCAGCTAATTTTTGTATTTTTAGTAGAGACAGGGTTTCACCATGTCGGCCAAGATGGTCTCGATCTCTTGATCTTGTGATCCGCCCGCCTTGGCCTCTCAAAGTGCTGGGATTACAGGCGTGAGACACTGCGCCCGGCCTCTACTAGGCTTTTTAAACTAGGCTCTGAAAAAAATCCCTGTAATCAGCTGGGCTCGGTGGCTCATACCTGTAACCCCAGCGCTTTGGGAGACTAAGGCAGGTGGATCATTTGAGGTCAGGAGTTCGAGACCAGCCTGGCCAACATGGTGAAATCCCATCTCTACTAAAAGTAAAAAAAAAAAAAAAAATAGCCAGGTGTGGTGGCTGGCACCTGCAGCCCCAGCTGCTTGTGAGGCTGAGGTACAAGAATTGCTTGAACCCAGGAGGTGGAGGTTGCAGTGAGCAGAGATCGCACCACTGCACTCCAGCCTGGGAGACAAAGTGAGACTCTCTGGAAAAAAAAATAAGAAAGAAAAGAACAAAAAGAAAAATCTCTATAACCAGTAGATCCAGAAATGGAGAATAGTGAAACTCCCTTACTTCTGAGCAGGTGCAAACCACTCCAGAAGGTTCCTCTCAGTCTCTGTCTCTCTTCCCCTTCCTTTGACTCCTGTCTCCCTGCATTCTTTTTTCCCACTCTCCTCAGCCCATCTCCTGAGGCTCACTGAATGAGCTCCCACTAAAGGCTGGCAAAGATGTGGATGGGTTTAAGGGTGAGAAATGAGGGAGACAAAGCAGTTTAGTGTCTAAATCCATGTGACCCTGCTGATTAGAGCATCTCAGATGGAGTGACATCTCACGAAGCCCAGGAGGATGAGCTGGAGATCCGAGTTATGGTTGCTATGGAGCCATTTGGCCAGGCTTCTCAGAGTGCCTTGAGAATATCCGCCCTCACAATGCTCTAGGGAGGCTGGGGGCAAGTAGGACCACCAGATCCAGAGCTGTCCTTAAGCGAGCTAGACTGGAGGAAAGTACACTTGGTAGGACAGAGACCACCCCAGCCCTCCCCCAACATTTGTAAACAGGTCAAGTCTGATATGAATTCACATGATGGGCAAAAATGTAGGAATAGGGTGGAGGAGAGCTATCAAGATACTATGGTGGGATAGGGTGAGGAGAGGATGCCTCCTAGGGAGGAATGCTTACATAATGATGCTTATATAGGCATTTGCTAATGTCAGTTCTCAGTCCTGACTGCTTCTTCCTCCCCCTCTTTCAATTCCTCCTCCTCTCCCATCAGGCA